ATAAAATTTCTGCCGGCTCAGTTTTCTTGAATTTGAAGAATGCCTAAATAGAAATTTCACCCATTGAAATATTTTCCATCTCATCGTATACTAAAAAGTTGCAGTCAAAACTTCACCGATCATTTGAATGCAATTTGATACCGGCCACAAGATACAGAAGCGACAAACGGGTTCACTTTTCAAATAATCAATTCATGAATGGAATCTTGACCTGGTTTGACTGTAATTCCTCCTTCAGAAACCTGCGAGTTATTCTCAGCGATCTTCGCTTTCACAACACCTTTCAGTTCGTAAAATATGGTGCTTCAGCCTAATTTTTTTTTCACTGCTTCGGCACAGAACGAAGTCAACGAGCTTTAACCAGTAGATTCTTTATTATTTGTAGCTCTTAAATAAAGGTACGGCAGCTCCAGCTAGCAGTATTTGAACACATTTAAAATTCTTTTTAGGAAGCGCCATCCGAACATGGACGTACTTAAAAATTTTCTTTTCCCTAAAATTGATTTTAAAAGAGACATTATTCGCGCCAAAATTTGATTCCCGTATGGTAAACGCTTATTGGCTAATAACATGACAGGTCAAGGAGACGTTAGATTATGTAAATTAGGGGGCGGTTAACGGCTCGTTAAATTAATGTATCAGGCGTTATTTTTTCCCCCTCTCGAGCCAAAGAAACAAAGAAGCAAAAAAAAAAAATAAAACGACTGATCTCAGGTTAATTGGTACCCGCCTTACGCCTCGTTTGAATGCAGAAATCTTGTATCGGGTAGAGGGGTCACTCCTGCCTCGTCCCCAGTCGCTGGCGATCACTTTTTGGGAGATATTTGAGTTAATTATCGGCGAAAAGAACTGCGAATCTACTGTGCGGCTTCGCCTCTCGCTTTGCGCGACAACTCTGCCACCGAGCGGCACTTCCGCAACCTGATCGCCCTTACTACGCAGGTTGATAAAACCTTGAATTGGATAGATTGACACGGCGTTTAGCAGACAATGGTAGAGAAATAAAACACACCTGCAAAAGATCCTGGTATTTTTGTGCCGTTCTCTTCTTATCTTTCACAACCGACAACCTCGCTCGTAAAAGATTGAAACACACAAAAAAAGATCGAAGGCTAACACTCAAGAACACACCGTTTTTCTTCCTAATATTTATTACTATATTCTTGTATGTACAAAATACTTTTTTTGGCTCCGTTTGAGGAGAAAAACAAGACAGATTAGAATAAAAATGACGATATCAAACGTTACTGTCTGTTGTTGTCGGTTGACCTTGAGCAAAAGTATCGACGAAAAGAAAAACACTCAAAGTTGAGAGAAAAAAAATAGAAAAACACGATTTCGAAGGAAACAGTCCCAATAACAACTACCTAGCTAGAATGAAGAAAATAAGGAGGGATCCTAAAAGCTGAGTCTTACTGTGAAACTCACAAAACCGTGAACACCAGAAATATTTATTGTTTTGCAAGGAATAAGCCAATGAGGCGCGAGATAACTAAACCGCAAACAGGTATAGGTAATAGCAGGATTTGTAGTGATATTTGGCATAAATACCACGAGTGATATTTCAAAATTGTTATACGTAATTTCACGAGCCGTCAGGCGAGTGAAATTTGAGACAATTTTGAAATATCACAAGTGGTATTTATGCCAAATATCACGTACAAATCATGCTATTATTTGTTTATACTACTACCCACAAAAGGTTTGTAATTTTCACAAGTAGGTATTTCAAATTAAGCTGAAATACCACTGCTCTAAGCCAATCAAATTGCAGAAATTTCTCATGTAGTAGTATAACAACGGTAATTAGTTTGTAATTTTGAGGTTTGCTTGCGTATCCTGAACGTTATTGTGAGTGGCCAGTGCAAAATCAACATTCCTGAAAAATTTCAGGCGTTCACGGTTTTCTGAGTTTGACAGTAGGGAACTTAAGAGCCACGACGAAGTTCACGACGACGACGTCTGTTGACTGGGAAAAGACTGGAACGAGAACGTCGGTTTCGGCGGGAAAAAGGAAACTTAAGATGCAGTCGATCGGTAGGTCGACGACGACGACACTGAATGTAAACACAAATGTAAAACTGTGATGTTCGGTCGCAACAAAGTTTTTCGCAATGGCGTCTTTTAAAACAATGTAAGATCTTATTTTTTAAGCCGTACGTCTAATTTTATTGACGATGAAGAATTTTTTGTGTAGTCTGACCTTTTGGAGGGGAAAAACACCTGCTTTCCGTACGAAGATTATTCAACCTGAATGAGATGACCGAGTCCTAGTGTCTGTCAGAGTTTAGATTTGGAAAAAGAGACATTCTGATAAGATAGCTGTTTTCCATATAAAGTCTATTTCCTCTGTATTAAAGATATATGATTTGCCTTACCTAAATACGTACAAATAAATTTACCACTTACGAGTTCGCTCGCTCGGCCTCCACAGCTGTTGTCATTCTTCGAAGTAAAAGCAAGTCATTAGTCGAATTTTCCATCAATATCGCTTGTTAGGAGAAAAAAGGAACGACAACTGAATTTACGAGGATAAGAAAGTGCAAAGGACCTCAAAAATCGCTTAAAACAGTGGATTTATACCTGCCGAAGCTTGTGGATTGCAGGACGACGTGATTCTACTTTGTTTGGCGTCGTCGACGACACTACGACGACATTTACTAGTCGCGCTTGCGCAGTACACTGTAACTCACTTCCGGTCGTCGTGGTGGTTCTTAAGTTCCCTAGTTATAACCCTGGATCTAACAAGCTAACAGGACTAAAGTTGATGTGCCACTCACTATTTTCGAAATGTAAATTATACCAGACGTAGTTAATCGATAAAAATTGATGTTCAAAATCAATTGAACTCGAAGTCAGAAAAAATGATTTATCGATTATTATCGATTACCAAAATCGATAACGATCGATAGTAATCGATAAAATATCATTAACGATTTCTATCGGAAAAACATCTATATTAATCGAAGTCAACTTTTTTTATCGATTTCTATCTATCGATATCGGAAATCGATATTCATCGATGATTGATATCGGTTACTATCGATTAATATCGAATTATCAGTTAATCGATAAACTACGTCTGGATCATAACATTTATAAACTGTTTAAATATATCAATCGATAGTTTAAGGTTTATCATCTATTAAAAGATCGATCACTGAAGAAGAGTGAATGACATTTTCTCGAACAAGGGAAATATTCTCGTTGTCATGCACTCACAAACTTTAATTCTTTAAGGCTAATTCTTCTATTCAAAGATCTTTTCGGGCAACTCATGCCCAGTGCAAAACACCTCATTTACTTAGGTCCTTTTGACATGGAGGTGGGGGATCCGAGATAGGCGTGGTAACATGTGGCGAGTCACGCCACCTATCATGGAAACGTGATCAAATTAAAATGAGAGATTATATGGACAGGCGGGTTACCTCACCTACCTGGGATCCCCCACCTCTATGTAAACAGGCTCTTCACGTTAGACCCTTTTCTCAAAGAAACTGAGATGCACCAAACATACGTCTGACTCCAACCGCCGCTCTCCAACTAAGGAAACGATTCAGGAACCACTTTTGTGGAAAATCACAATACAGTATTTTCTCAGTTTATCGCCGCCAGCGTTTATTACATCGTTAGCCAGGTGAGGCCGGCAGGCTCCCTATTTTTTAAGAAGGCATTTTCACTCCTTTTTTGGCTTGGCAGCCATCTGTCTTTGGCTATATACCTTAAGTTTATTATGCCGCAAACGTTTGAGGGGCTATAACTTCCTATTTTAGACCCACCCTATATTTGGAGCCAAGGTTTCAATTGAGAAAATACAGTATGGACGGTGCCCTCCTTAACCCATTCACTCTCGCAAAAGTGGCCTGAGACTTAATTCCCATTTCATCTTTAAAATGCTGAAAACCAAATAGAACCATGTGAAAGTACTGCCACAGACGTCTCTGACATTGGAGTCAATGGTTTAGGACTTTGTCCACAGACTCAGAAGTTAGAACCACCTTACGAAACTTCATTCATGTATCGGTCTCTTCCCGAAGCTACAACATCCCTCTGGGTATTTGACAACTTAGCCTTATTGGGGAAGGGAATTTAATAATCATAGTCCTTTATGGGGTGGGGAATTTGATTCCCACGCACAAGAGGTAGGAAATTTGAACCGTAGCAGCCTAGCTTCGATTTCTTGCAAAAGGCATGATAAATGTATAACAGAGGCTGACAAGACAAGATTGTGGCTTCTTGGCGGATCGGCTAAAAAGAAAAGGATTACACAAACTTTGCTCCGTCTGAAGACTCGGCTTCAAGAGCAACAAAAAGCAACATTAACAGTTAAAACAGTAAGATGGTCCCTATCATTTCTCCAGGGTAGGGGCATTTGGACACCCAAAACGGACCTTTGATGGGGCATTTGAACACTATTTTTCAAAAATTCAAACGCCTGTTGGAACTTGAAGCCTCAACAGACCTTTACACGGTTTTTTCAACTTTTGACATGGACAAGTTAGGGAAAAACCGTCAACAACACTGAAACGAGCGCCTTAGAATTAGTAACATTGGTAGTTTGAAAGTGATACGTCTTAAGCGAGCGACAATATAGCTCCGCAAATTTGCAAAAATTTACAGACGTTTGTATGGTGGGGTAGGGGGTGGGGCAAGTTTGTGCCCCCCCCCCTCCACCATACAAACGTCTGTAAATTTCGCGACTTTGACATGCTATATCTTCATTAGTTTTCAACAAATCACTTTCAAACTATGCAATTTTACTAATTTTAAGGCGCTCTTTTCAGTGGTGTCGACGGATTTTCCATAACTGGTCCATATAAAAAGTTGAAAAAACCGTGAAAAGGTCTGTTTGACCAGTGCATTACTCTGGGAGTAAAGGGGATAAGGATACTTCACGGGAGAGCGACCTGAAGAAGGTGTCTGAATAAAACGCCTACGTTTCTGAACAGACAGCAAAACTCACAACGATAATCATAATAATTTAACTAAGGATACAAACTTTTTTTCCATACAGCGCATTACGAGATTCAAAACCCTTGTTGCACTAATTCTCAATCACTTGTGAAGATTCATCCTCCACAAATATCCAAAAGTTGATCTTTCTCAAGAGGTTCATCAACATCCGCATCTTTGTTTATTTATCCTATCATCTCATTAAGATGATTTTGTTGGAAACGATGCTACCATTACTTTCCACAGCTGCTTAAAACCAACAGCCAAAATCATATATTAACTGTTAATAATGCAAAAAACAAGAAGCATCCAGACACTCCAAGACGCCATAGCTGAATATGATAGTTGACACGCAGATCTGTCAAGTAGTGTACAAGTTTGATAAGCAGAGAAGGCTGGTAAATAGGATGGTTATGAAGAGGCCATAGCTCCAGGCAATGGAGAAGGAATGTCCAGGTTTGGAATGTCAAATAAATCGCAGACACCTTCAGAGTCATCCAAGTTGAAGTAGTAGTCGTGCTCACCTGGCGGTGGCGATAACCGCAGAAGTGGCGCATACACTATACATGAGCAATAAAAGAGTCAACAGGTTGTCTTCAGCACAGTAGTAAACATACGTACAGTTCCCCACTTCAGAAACTCCACAGAGAACGAGTACAAATCAGTACAAACTCTGAGAGCAGTGATCTCTGGGATCGTTTGGCTGGACAACTGTTAGTTATGATTGGTAGATGGTATTCAAGGCAACCATCAACGAATTAGAAGTAATGCTTGTCCACCCGAACTATCCAAGAAATTGTTGCGCCAAAGCCTTGTACCTTTTCCCCTTATAGTTTCTGAATGAGGCATACTTTTTCACAGATCAATTGGTTGAAGTTGAGGGAAACTCAGTAATTGAAACTCCAAAAAATAAAATTGGCGATCTAAATTTACCTGCAAGTCAGTACCAAAGAAAGCATCAACCCCAGAAATTTCTGGAAAATAACAACTCTAGGATAGGGATAGTCTCTAGGTCTGGTATTGGCTAAGGGTTCAGGGGTCCCAGCAGCACATTCCCACCCAAACATTCATTAAGTACCTCCCCCAGGGAGCCAGCCATGTCACTAGATTCAGCTTTATCTAAGTACTAGCTCAAAAGCTATGTTCAGGGCTGTTGCTATGGGCAAGGAGTGGCTGCTACAAGCATGACCCCTGCCTACTGTCACAGAAAACAACTGGAAAATAGAACCAAAAGAACGTCCTAGCTTTTTAATTACTCATGTTATAATTAACAAGTATTGGACGAGGTTGAGCAAAATATCGTGATTTGTCAGTGGCGAGCAGATTAATTATTTGCAGAAGCTGTTGTTTTATCATTCAGTCACCGAGTTTGTTTTTTGATAAATTTCTTCGGGAAGCTGCCATTTTCACGCAAGAGTGATAGCAAGAAGGAGAAAAGCATGCATTCATTTACTCATGAGCAGAATATTATTTGCAACCAAACACAGTTGGACGATATTGCGCACTGACAGACCATTATTTGTAGGCAGTTATTTGCAGGTCACATTGTGGGCTCTCAGCCAATGAAAAGAGAGAAAAATTTGCATCGAATGATAATAAATTTTATTGCATATACCTGGTACCCTGAAATTTTAGTGGCCGACTGTTGGTTAACAGTCGGCTGACTGTTGGCCAACTGTCGGCCAACTGTTGGTCGGCCGACAGTTTTTTGGGGGAGCTGTTCTTCACTTTTTCCAACATTTGTCATAATTTCCTGTACTAGGCTAGTTTGTAAAGTCTAGGTTTCCTATAGCTGATTGGCTAACGCATCCAAAAAAGTGTTAGGAACTGGAAGGCTCAACTCCCGTGGACAGAACTCAGAAATCATTTCTTCCAAGAGGCGCTAAACAATGAGACAACTTGATCTTCCTTAAAAAGTGAATTTGTAATAATTATAATATGAAAACACCGCAAATCTTCCTTAAGATGATACTGGAAAGGAGCACAATCAAATAGGTAAATAAGACACAGTGTGTAATCATTCTTGCATGAAGACAAGTGTAAATAGGTTCATTGCACTCATAAAGTATTTTAAAAACAGGAACATTTTAGCAATGTTTTTCTCGTTGCAAATAAATCTTTGGGTTTGGTTATATCTGGAGACAATGTCCAGCAATGTCAATAAAATGTCAAGTTGTCAGGTTTAAACAGTCAGTAGACGAAAAATTGAACAGCTACAAAGTTTTTTTATGTTCTACGTTTCATTTGTTTCCTCTTAAAATGGCCTGGGGTCATGCTCACAGTAGGCCCAGATAATCCCCAATCCCCAGGGCCTTTAGAGGCAGCCATGAATACCCCTTTAATTTCATGAAATCTTTACCTTCTGCTGACATAAACTCTTCCATAACTTCCTCTGCAATATTACCTTCTGCGGTAGTTAAAAATAAATAAACCACAGTTAACTTTCTAGTCAGCGTAACAGAAGATCCTAACACAAGAAAGTTGTTCACAAATCTTACACAAGATAAAATGAACCTGTTTCAGGTAGTAGATTGTAGATGTTACATGTCAAAGTTAAATTCAGGTTAAAATTTTTTAACCTAGGTTGATTCTCAATTTTCTTTGTCTCCTAGCCCTAATCATTCATGAATCCGGGCTAGGAGAAATTGAAAATCAACCTCGGTTAAAAAATCTTAACCTAAATTTAATTTTGACATGTAACAGAGACATAAATCATGATCAGTAAAAAAAAATAACTTCAAGAGCATTGTAGAAGACTGTGAGGTAATAGGGTTGGGTTGAGCTTCCACCAGGCAACTTAGGGTACTGTAGTCCTACTGCCCCCACCACTAAACAAGGTGGTCATGGAGACAAAGTAGCACACAAAGTCACACATCCAGTAATGCCGATTGCTTATGAATAGTGTGCAATCATGCTCTCCCTGTAGTCTCTTTATGTGTTTGGCGGGAACGAGGGCATGATGGGTTTATTTACCAGATCACATGCAAAAAATCCACAATCTGGAGTTCTTTCTCATTAGTCCGGAGACAATATGTCTGACAGAGTTCTGTTCTGATAAGCTGAAGATTAGGTTTGAAGTCCCTCGCGATAGTGTTTGAATGAAATGCAATTGATTCCCAAGGTTGAAATACTCTCCCTGGCTTACATTTTTGTGCTTACTGGCTTTATAGCCAGAAAGCAATATGTCAACATCTGTGTTAGTCAATAAGTCCATTTCTATTGTTCTCATAGCGCAAGGCATTGACCCTTAACCTTCGGAGCCGAAGGTACTGTGTTTGATACTCGCTATCATCTTTTTTTCAGTAACAAATTAATTTTATAAATTCTCTCTTTTTTCTTCTTTTACGCTCACTAAAAGAACACTAATCATTTCGAAGATAATTAGATTAAAAGCAATAAATTTGTAAGAAGTTACTAAGTTACACTCTGACTCGAGATTCACCATCAATCGATACTCGATGGCTCCTTTTCTTTTCAAGGACTTTGCCAACCTTGAGGATTTTTATTTTTCACTTAAGGTACACAGAGTGAAACAAAGTATTAAATAATTTGGATGGAATTGAATTAACTCATAGCACACAGCTTTAACATTCACTTTAACCTCCAGCGCAGAGCAATCTCATTCCTAGGGTACGCATTACCCTTGTCCAGTGGGATGAGCAACATTGGGAGCAGAGGTACTTGGTTCAATACCCGACGATTATAATAGATTCTTTTCTCCATTTTTTTTTTTCACTTTTTTATGGTTACTGGAGAAAAGACTATTCATAGCCAGTAAGCTAAAATCCTCCCAGGGGACTATTTTTTGCTTTGTTTTTGTGGCTGGTAATTATGTTGAAATCAAGTTCCAGTTGATATCACTCCATCACACAAATAAGCTTGCCTCAGTTTTTCAAAGAAACAATTGAACATGGCAGTTGTTTTGATTTCCCCATCATACAAAAATTGTTCATGCCTTGAAGGAATTCAGTTTCAGTTATGATTATGACAGGTTGACCAGATGTAATGTATCAGATGTTTCTTTTTTGTCTCTCTCTCTCTCTCTCTCTTCTCATTGCAGATTACTTACGAGCAGTTAACACTATAGCAATTTAAGTATTTTGGATAAAAGAGCATTGCTTCTAAGGGCTGGGCACACATAAAAGTTCAAATGTATTTTATTACTGAAAGTATTTGGCATAAGACTTGGAGTGAAAGGGGTTGATGGATTGGAATTTTACAACAATACTGTTGTTACCTTTGAGGCTATTTCCAAATATAATGTCATTAGCAACCTCTTTAAGCTCATTTGCTAAAAAACAAAAGAAAAATTAAAAGACATAAAGAAACAGACAGAATGCCTCCAGAAAGTTCCTGGAGAGCAAGAGCTTTAAAATGTGAAATAAAAATCAGAGACTACTAAATATTTCTTGGGTCATTTACTGTCTTGTTACTGAAATTACCTCTGCTGGATTCTAGAACTTCTGTCTTGACTGCTTCACCTTTTGAGCTGAGATCATTTGTAAATTTAGCATCAGTGCCGGTCTCCATTGGTTCTTCACCTTTCATTCCAGAATGGTTATTTGAATTAACATCACTAGCCGGCGGAGGTACAGGCGTCACTACTGGACTGTTTGCAGAAGCATCCTTGTTTACCAATAGTACATGGATTGGACCATTTTGACTTTTCAAATGAATCTGGTACTTGTTTGGTTGCTTCATATTCTAAAAAGAGGAATGCAGCGATAGGGTGATGTTGGGCAAGGCAAAGATTATTTTAGGCATCAATCCCTAGTACTGTGAACTAAACTAGCAACACTGTATTTCAATCCCAAACATTGAAAAGCTGCTCACAGAATTCCAATCACAGAAATAGAATAAAGCCTCTTTTACCCATACAGTTCAGCTGAGGTTTAAATGTCATATGGGCTGAACTCTCTAATTCCTATCTTTGGCTGAAAACATCAACACAAATTGACTAGATTACTTAAATTAAAAAATGAACAAGAAACATGTACTGGTACTTACTGTCTCTGGAATTGGGACCTCGAGTTGTGTTCCAGACGGAGCTTGAACAACCAACAATGTGTCCCCTCTAAAACTGTGACAAACATCTTCATAAGTAGCATAGGCTAGCTGTTCATTTTCTGGATCTTCAGAAACATTCTTGAGGCTTTGTTGAACCCATAATCTTTGTTCATCCAATTGTCTTTCTTGGTCTTCTAGTCTTTCTAGCTCATCCTTTAAAAGCACTAGTTTGTCAGATATTTCTCTAGTGTTACAACCTGGACCAGCCCCTCTGCAAACAAAACATAATATGTTAGCACTTCAACACCTGTGAGTAAACAATATAAACTGCGAGATTTAATTATTTTGCCAATAAACTCATCAGTCCACAGCTTTAAACTAACTCTTTTACCATGATCTGCCTGGCTTCCAAATTCTCAAAATGGTAGCCATTTCCAAAGGGAAGGTCAACGAGGTTTTTCAACAAGCAAAATAAAACACATGTCAAGGCTATATTAAGCAGACCTACATTATGCAGTCACCCTCTATTAAGCAGCCATTAAACAAATCCCAGAAATCATGTTCCTTAATATTATTACCGGTACTGCAAAGCTGACATGTATTAAGCGGTCACCCCTATTAAGCCATCAAGGTCATCTTTTCCAAGATCCCAACGACTTATTTCATCGTTTTCACCTCTATGAAATGATTACTTTGACAAGATGCATCAATCTTTGTTTAACAGTCAACCTGTCTTAAGCAGTCAGTAAGCCATTACAGGTTTGACTGTAGTGTGCATTTAAGCCACCCAGTCTGACCAGTCTGATTTACCCTTGAGCGACCAAAATTTCAAACAGGGATACCAAAGGGGCACCTAAAACTTATGATTCTCGTGCTAACTTCCAGTGAACAAACAACAAAATTCCCTGCTCATTCTGCACTTTAATGACAATGGAAAACGTTTGATTGACAGCCATAGGCAAAAACATATTTCCACCGATAAAAGGTAAACACACAGCACTATGTCTTGAAATTTGCTTCTGTCACTTCCACTGCAGAGCAGTTGAAGTTTCTCGGCTGAAAATGGCATCGAATGAATTTAATAGTCTTCGAGAAAAAACTTGGATGATAAAATCATGACTTTTCCTTCAGCGTTAGAAACATTAAGGGTCACTACTGCATGAAGTAAAAACTGATATAAAGTCACGATCCATGGAAAAGCAAGCTGGTTACAAATATTACAAGTGACATCGGTGGTTTCGGTATGCTATTAACTTTTGCAAGTTTGTAGCATTTTCTCTTATTTTATTCAGTGTTATCTACACCTCCCTTTCTTTTGCTGTACTTTTTGTGGTAACTTTTGAAAACTGGCAAAAACATTTTAGTTTTTGAAAGTGGCTATTCAAGATCACGTTTCAATCTCATTAAGTTCCATAGTTGAGTGCAATGTACATAAATACAAACCTTCACAAATACATAAACAGTTCAAAAGATAGAGTTGATACAAAAATACTGAGTTAATTTTCCAAACTTCCAGATAAAAACCTTTCGTCTGTCCTTTTTTATCACCTAAAAACTGAACATGCAAGTGCTGTTGGTCAGTGCTTTCCCAGTACGTGCGAGAGGTCATTGTCATGTTTCTCGAGAAATAAATTGTTTCTCGAAATCCTTTCAAGTGGCGAATATAACAAAAGCTGGTTTCCCCAAACTCAAGACTCTTTTTTCACGTTTTGAAACTAAATTCATTCGAGGCTCGAGCATTGTTGCAGTTTTGTCTCGTCACGCGATGCTCCTTAAGCCTTCCCGACTTATCTAGGAAGATTGAAAGGCCTCTGCTCGGTGGGTATAAATTTATAAACAACAACTTCTTCAAAGATAGATCTTTCTAGCGATACCTTGTTTTGGATATTCTGACCAATCCTGTCAGAGTTACACTCACGAAAAAGGTAACATCTTGGGGAAAAACCCACTACCAATTTCGCTGTTTACATACTACTCTTTGAAGATTAAATTTGCCCCTTTCCTAAGAAGTTAGCCAGCTACAATTCCATGCAAAAGAAGGATGATAAAGTGGGCAACAAAACTTCTGATAAACAAGAAAGGCAAGGGAAAAAAGAGAGCGAGAGAGAAAGACTGAAATAGATTCGCAAAAAAAGGAACAAATTTTGGCTTTAATGCATGCGTGAAAAACAAATAAGCTGTTTAATTACATCAGATAAGTCGAAAAATATGCCTTTTTTCTTTGCAAACTCATTTTTAGCTATTTTTATGCTAATTAGCCAAAAACCAGGCCAAAGAAGAGGAATTAGTGAAAAATGCAGTTTTTTTGCTACTTGCCGGCCATCGCCAAAGGGTTAATAAAGTTACTGATCTTTTTTAATTGAGCTCCTAGAAATGTGGCTTAGGCTCCTAACTTTTTTTTTAGGAGCCCAAAGGGCTCCCAAAAAATTTTCCAAAGCAGCAGTCTCTGAAGACTTCGTAAGAAAACTGGACCAGATCTCTCTTTACTTATATATATCAAAAGCCTTGTATTTGTTTTCATATAAGTTTTCTTATCATTAAAGCTAGGCTGAAGAAATATTTCTCTCCTTCTTTTCCAAAAAAATATTTAAACAAACCCTTAAATACAGACTTTAATGTTGATAAGTTATTCCTGTCCAACGACTCTCCGAAAAATTCTGGTGTTTTTCCTTAAAAATACATAGTCATGAGGTCTACAGCCATTATGTAAACGGTGAAGGAAATGACACATACTTTGCACAATCAAAGAGAAGATGTTTTTTATTTGCCCCACCTCCTACCCCCAGCAGAGGACCGCTTCACACCATTCTCCAACCCCGGGCCTGAAGGGCTGGACTTGTCCCAGGAGAAGTGGAGGGTGGGATGGTAACAGGTCAAAATACAAAAACTAATAGCAAAACATGTATTCGAATGCTTTGAAAAAAAGAAAAGGGGAAGATGGCAAAAAGTAAATACTATAGGACTTAATTAATTGATAACTTACTAGGTATACCTATCGATAGAGTGCCAACGAGGAAATCATGCGTATTTTGCTTAGGAATAAAATTCCTTTTTTTCCCATTTGACCATTTCATGGTCCCTTCCTGTTGCAGGGATTATTTTCTTGAAAGTTCTCAGACTCAGTCTAGTGGCTTTACAAACCTGCTATGTAAAAGTGTGAAGTGCCTTGAAAGAATAAAGTCAGCTTTGCAGAGGGAGCGATCGGGAATATTATTAAGTCCAGCTACAAATCTACTGTCGGTTCGGTTTCACATTGTTGATAAATATTTGCACAGTTTAATCATTTAAACCTCCTTTCAAATTTCCCGAGGCTTTTTGTTATCGGATTGAAGCTTAGAATGATTCGCTGGGCCATCTGAAATGTTTTCAAGGACATGCGATGTACGGCACGTCGGTATTTAATTTTAGTTCATTATTTTTATACTGAACTCGGCCATGTTTCGAAAATAATGGCGTTGTTTGCTTTTCCTTTGTCGTTCGCTTTAGGCTTGTAATTCGTTTTTGCTCTCATTGTTTTTGTTTGCTGGTTAGATTTTTTCCCCAACACCAGATTTTCCAACAGAAGCGACTGCATTCTTCGTGTCAAGCTTTCCTTATCTGCTCGTGTAATCTGATCCTTTTTAGTGGTGAGAATATTGCTTGCTGCACATAGAACACTTTTGCTGTTTTACAAACTTCTCTTCGTTAAAACTTAAACATTATGGCCCCTAAAATTAATAGAATATATCAAGTGCTCATGTCTCTTGACTGCGGTGGCTGGGTTTGACGAAAAAATTTAGGTAAATAAACACAGGAAGTCACGACGGCGGGAAGTGTGTGAAATTTTGTTTGTTATTCAGCTTGAGCCCGTGCGCCAGGTACTGCCTTTTGATTGGTTCACAACTGACCACTTAGTCTCAGGGGAATCTACATTACATTGGGTTACACTTTTTTCAGCTTGATCAAGAATTTTTCTGCCTATTGCCCAGTCTTACGCGGCTCTATTCTGCTGCCGCCTCGTTGGCAATTAGCCATATATGGTTAGGAATTTTTGTTGTTTGTAATTTTAGTTATTTGGAAAAAGTTGACTCCAAATAAAAAAAATGTATTTATGTATGTATGTATGAGCCACACATCAGAAAAACATGTCATTATATTTGCACCAATTAGAACCTGTTTTTCTATCATGTGTCCACACTTAGACCTTTTCAAATGTCGTGCTACTGCTGTTCTAAGCTGGCTCAACTGTAGCATGACACTTTCATATGTTGAATTTAATTCAGTCGAATAGAATGGCTGTTGCCGAAAACAAAACACAAAAATATAGAAACGGTTTAGCAAACTTTGAAATGTATTCTAATGTGTTTATAATTTATGAATTGAGTTCGGCACAAGCCGTGCTACACGGCAGTAGCATGACTTGGTTTCAAAGTCGCGCTACTGCTGTGCTAAAGTTGAATTTAATTCGAATTTAATTCCCTTCTTGGCTTTTTCCCTTCGGCACAACTGTAGCCCGACATTTGAAACAGGCCTTAGATGCAAACAGCAGTAGGTACAAAAAGCAAAAGAAAAAAGTGCATTTCTTGCATGTGTGTTTGTTCACAGCTTGCCCTTGCAAAACAAACTACTTTCATTAGTCACAAAGTTAATAATCAACCCCTGCCCCCCCCCCAAAAAAAACTTATTATAAATAATAGTTATAAAAAATAATGGTAAGTAAAAACAATAAGAAGAGAATAACATAATATGCAAAGTTCCATATTCTAATGTATTTTGCATGTAGGAGCTAAAATTATAATTTGTTTTGATTGGCGGGAATCCAAATAAACTTTCTATATATTTAATTATTTTAAGATTATGTTGCCCTTTAAAGTCCCGTAAGCACAATGCATTATTTTTGGCATAGATGAAATATTCTTTCAAAAAACTACGTTCTTGTTAGAATTTCATCTCATTCGTTTTTAAGTCTTCCTGAAACAATTACCCAACTAATAAACGTTTAGACGATCGAGCGAGGGAAGTATCGCTGCTTTCTCTTGAATTTCCTCTTAGATTACGTTGAAGGCAAGCTAGCATTGCGTGAAAATGATTGTTATGAAATGTGCAACTAGCTACAGTAACAAGACTGTAACAGTAGAAATTTGAGTGAAAATAGTTTGCCCCTTTTTTTCTTTCTATTTTTCGGGGAATGTGACAGTGTGAAGGGCGCCAAAATAAATGGCGGTAAACGACCTTCACAATAGAGTTTGCGCGCTGACACCACGCGTTCCAACGTCAATAACCCAGCAAAGAACTACCAAAATGTTCTGTTTTTTTTGTTTTCTGGCTTAACTTTTGCGATTTCAAAGAGGATGGAGGACAAAAGTCTTCAATGCTTAAGAATCTAAAATAAAAATGCCATAAACATCCCGCGAGAATGTTAGGGAACTGCGATGGAATTCGCATGTTGTCCCGCGCGACTGCCTTTTGTCACATGAACTTTCCCGTTCGTGAGATACTTACTTCCACTGAATGCTATTCTTTGATTTCTTGGTTATCAGCCCTATTCCTTCGAGAACATTAGTAATATCATAAATTCGTCGCTTTTGACGAACAGCGAGTGTATCGGCGGCCTGAAAGACAACAAGGTAAACATCACTTCACAAAGTGAATGCAAAATGCATCGGGAAGCACAAAGAAGGACAACCGAACATAAAATCGCCTATTTCGCGGGCTAAAAGACCCGGATTTCTTTTCGCACTCACAACTTTAAGATCCAAGACACCATCCTTAGCTTCTTGCAACAAACTAACGAATTTCGTTGTCAATAAACCCAGCGATTTTTCATGACGACTTGGCGTTCCCGGAGAACCCAAGGCCGGAGAACCGAAATCCGCCATGATAGACGAGCTGCATGCTGCAAGAGACCTTGCGTTGCTGTGATTGGCTAATAAAAAAATTTAAATAGTGCGCCGTTGGAGCGCGCTTAGAAGCCACAATTCAAGTAGGGGAGGGCTCTTTAGTATCGTAAGTTTCTCACATCTTCGTGTATTTTTCTACGTTTTATAGAACAAAAAAATTGTTTTACGAGAGATTACCTAACTTAACTCACAAGAGTAAATTCATTTTGCTTTTCAACTAAATTGAACTGAGAAAATTGCTAGTTTAAAATTCAACTTCTTACCCTACCCTAGAGGATTTGTTTGGTAGCTTTTTCGTCACCAGGGTCCTAAACCCAATCGTCAAGTTTTTCCCGCGCGCGGGTTTTTTTTTCTGGGGACCGCACCTCTGTTCGGCAGTTCTCTCTTTGGCAGCATAAATGGAGGAGCAAAAACTGCAAGGTTTTATTTTTAAAACAATTTTTTAATGCGTCTCGTTGTATAAAGAGTCAAGTATGACGGTATGTCAGCATTTAGAACACAACGCGAGATAGTTTTCGACCCTCTAGTTCATTTAGTCCTCCGGGTGCCATTATAAGAAGCTACCACTGAACATAAGACGATACTACAATTTCTTTAAAAAATGAAATAGTGGAAAGTAATATAAGATGGGTGGCATTGAAGTGGTGGAAGTCGGCTACCAGGGAATATGATATTTTCAAACAGACTTACTTTGTTTGTTGGATAAATGTTAAAATGTTGAGTCACATTAAATTGTTACTTTTGCCATTGATCATACGCTTCTATAACGGCATTTTGGAAAAGCACGTAGTTTCAAATGTTAATAACTGAAACATAGAGTTTTGCCCATTACATGTTAATCCAGGAGATGTCCATAGTTCCCCACTGCAGAGCTGCCAACCTCTGGAGATCTAAAATCTGACCCTAAAACCCTAAATCTGGAGACTCATTGTTTTGCACTACCCCTGCCCCAAATTGTTACCGAGCCCCCCCCCAAAAAAATCGACTCAGCCCCCATGCCCCAGAAACTGTACTATGAATAAAACAATTTCGTGTTTTGACAATAAAAATTGGCTAAGTTTCAAACCAAAGCATAGAAAAGCTCAAAAGTTGATTTTATCCGAGACATTTTGTGACCTGTGCAGGGAGCAGGAGATCAGTGCTGTTTCCGGGAGAGTTAGCATATATGCACTCAGGGTTTTGTAGTTTGACCATCCCCTCCCCTTTGGGCCTGATACTTTCCTTCAGTATACAGATTGTGGCCTTTTTGACCCCCTCCCCCTCAGAATTTCCAAAGATCCTCTTTATGTTGGAGGAGCCTTGCCTGTTGCAGCATATGATGATTCACACAGTTCACACTAGAGGTCACTAGAAAGAACACTGAAATTTCGCTTACTATAAACAAAATGATAACAATGTGTTTAGTTGCTAACCATTCTCTAAGCTTTCAATGTTTATCCAATCCTAATGAAATTCTCCTCTAAAGCGGGAGTCGGAAAATTGTAAAATATGTGGCATTTAGCATTTTGGGCCATGCTTAGTAGCTTAGCCTTTTATGGGAGGACAAGATAATTCCATCGGGCATTAATTTTTATTGGTGGAAAGCTGCTGCTGTTATCAACCCAAAAGACCACTTCCTCATCTGGAACAAATGACTTTCTCCTCAAAAGATGTAAGCTGCCATTTTTTGATCATGCTTTTTAAATAGATTGGCCTCCTATGAATAATGTCATTCTGTCTAATGTAAAATTGACAGGAAGCTTCTACAAAAGAATGTTTAGCAAAACAATGGCTCAACCAGCATCACGACAGAGACCATGACAAATGAAGGAATTTCTACCTTCAAACTAGGCAAAGGATGGGTCCTGTTAAACTTTGTGTGTGAGTTAGTGTGAGTGGAGATCAACATGTAATATAAATACACAGCAGTAATACACCGTAACATGCACAGCTGCCAACCAGGAGGATGACACAACCAGCAGGTCAAATGCCAGTGAAAAGCAAAGAAACTGTTTTGTTTACAGGTATGTACTGGGGTTACCCCCCCCATAGTGGCCTACACGAGGAGGTTCTGCCCAAAAAGGGTACCTTTTTCAGGTTTCAGTTATATGAAATGATAAGAAAATTCACCCGGGGAGGGGTACTTTAGGAATTTCTGGGTGGGGATGTGCTGCTGGGACCCTGGGACCCTGGAACCCTGGAACCCTTAACCTGTACCAGAACTAGTTCAGCTGAATTTTGCTACCCTATACTAGAGTAAACTCCCCAAATCCCCCCTATCCTAGAGTAGCTGTTTTTCAGAAAGTATACCCTATCCTAGAGTAAACTGCTTGAAAACCATACCCTTCACAGTGGCACATACCTATATAGCCCATATATGCCAGTACCTCCCCCCCGCCCCCGGGGGGAATTCACTAGTTCAAGTAGATGAAAGGGAAGGGAAATCTGCCATTTTGGTCCTCGGGACTTAAAATCTGGGTAACAGCTAGATATTACTTGGGCTGTGAGAAGGACAAGAAAACTTTCTACTTCAGTGACCTGTTCATATCAACAAGACGGTGCATATACAGGAGTTAAAGGGAATGCAGTATTCTTACTAGGTAAATGAAAGGGGTACAATTTGTCAATAAAAGGTATATGAAAAAGGTGTCTTTTCTAGCAAAAATTTGTGGACCCTGGGTTGGAGCCTCCCAGTATATAACTTATTACTTCATTAAGTGCCCTAGCCTGGACTGCTGAGTGTTGTGGAGCTATTAACCCAGAACTGAGTTGCTACTTTGATCATTTCTTCTCAAAAAGTCTAACAAATAGTGCTTGCTCATTGGTAAAGTTTGAGTGAAAATACACTAGCCTGAGAGGTCCTCCTTCTTCCCTGATATCCAAAGGACAGGGCTCTAGCACCCCATTATTACAGCCATTCAAAAGAAATGTTTTCTTATGATCTTTCTTTTCTTTTTGCACAGATTCCAAGCAGGTTCAGTTTGTGGGAATCTTTATTTACAACCCTTCCTGGTGTATAATTTATACGTGATCTTTGGAGCACCAACAATGCCTTCAGGTGACATTTTTATTTGGGTATGCTTTTGTTCAATATAAAATTATGTTGTTCTGGTTGTTTTACCTCTCCACGACGTTATTCTACAAAATTAGTTAACTGTGCCTATAATGTTTTATTTGCCTTAGTCAATTAGTGAAATAATAACTATAATGATGATGATGATGATGATGATGATGATGATAACAGGTGTAATAATAGTAATAATAACTATGTATATTTGCAAAAGAGTAGGGACAAAGTCACAAAAAAACACTGATTCATCTTTTTGTCTCAAACCGGATCTGGGGAAAAATATATCAAGCTAAATTCACCAAGAGGTGGCACTGAAAAAAAATGATAATAATTAATATCATAATTTTTCATGTTTTATAAGATAATGAAGTAATTTTTTTTTCAATCAGAATTTGCTCACTAAGATTTGCTACTGTGACCTCCCATTCCTTGCTAAATATAATACTTTTTGTTCTGTGCAACATTTCTTGGCATGATTTTATAGTCATTATAGTGTAGTGAAAACTTTGCCAGGAGACCCCAAGGAAAATGTTTTTGTTTTTGTTTTTTATTGCCACAACACCAGTCATAGAGTAATTGCGGATGACAAAATTTTTTTATTGATAAATTGACGTCCCTCATCCACCCCACCTGTGGGCATGATTTTTGGCTGATAACGTTAATCCAAAAAAAATCACAACCCAACAGAACCTCATAGAAATAGACTGTGTCCACAATGTACTTTGATGACTATTACAAGCACTCATAATATCACTCATGAAGTTCTTCTACCATTTAGAGTGCATTTCTAGAGATAAAAGTACTCTGGACAGCCCAAAAAGTTGGGTGCCCATAAACTTTGTTTGCAACTGGGACGCTATTAAAAAACTCCAGAGATGGTAGTAGAGCTTAACAAAAAGCAGCTCTGCCAATTTTTAGGTTGTTAACTTGTTATGATGAGTTTTTATGGTGGGATGACTGACTATCAGGCCTTCCTGAGGGGAGGAGAGATTTTAGAGGGGCAGTTGGAGGGGAGAAGAGAAAGAGGAAAGGCCTGACACAAAACCATTCAAACCGTGTGACACATCCGAAATCTGAACATGACAGTGATTGGGTAACACATAATACCCTCTGACGTCCGATGTTGTGCCACCAGAAATCAAAGGATCTGTGTCACAAAAAATAATTATCAACATTCAAATGGTGAGAACTGCCACCAAACTAAGTGAAACATAAAAATTACAGTACTCAGAACATGAAAAGAAGGTATAGATAACAGTGCATTATTACTGTGGTTTTTGAAAAACTGTTAGGCCAACAGTTTTTCAAAGTTCATTTTTGTTGCTTGCACTGGTAAATGATAGACTTTATTATCAATCACTACTACAAAACTTTGTGTGGACTGATCTAGGATGGTTTATTTATCAACTGGAAGTTCAGATTTGATTCTGATCCTCAGCTCCATGACCTCCAACCTTCTTGTAGTTGAGTTTTTCCAGTTTGTATTCTAGTTCTTTATGGAGAACCGATAGCATTATCTTTTCTAGAGTTGATAAGCGCCCCTCTCAAATAAGCCCCCCGCCCCCCAAGCCTTCCCTCAAATGGGCTTAAAATAGATAGGCCCCCTGGGGAGCTTAATAGAGCATTTACCATAATGCTTAGAGACAAATTTGTTTAAATACACCTCTTTACTCAGATAAGGCAGCCATATTGAATTTATTACATTTAAGGAATTCCCTTTTCTCCTTACCCCCCACCCAGAAACCCTTGATAATCAGATGGCGAGTAATCCACCCACTGCTTACTGTTCACTGGATTGAACAAATCCAGTTAAGACTCTGGCTCCTGTCTCTCTCTGAATTTCCATTTAACAACCATATTTCTATGAAACCATCCGAAAAATCTTATCATTTTCTTCTGAAGTATGACAGACACAAACTCTGAGATAAAACACACAGGTGAACCTTAGAAAACAGCCACCTCTCTCTACAAGAGCCTTTTTTGTCCCAGCAGACAATCCACTTGTTTTAACTCTCCACAAACGTAACAGGAACTAAATTGCACCCTAACTGCATACTGGATTTATCCAAATGGTGCGCTGCAATTCAAGGCAATTCTTGGCTATTCCGCAAAACCTCTTCACAACTGTCACTTGAAAGCAAGCATCATAGAAACTTATGCAATCACTGTTCCAACTTGATTTGTTTTGTTAACATTTTAGTTCTAAACTTTTGGTTTTTTTATCATCAACATACTTTCATAACAGTGCATATAAACATAGTGTAATAAGAATTAAAACCCTGATGGAAAAAAATTAATGTCACATTACCCCTACCTTCCCACCTATACCACCTGTCCTATTCATGCCACCTTATCTAGTGAGGACAGCCATAATCATCCATCCTCAAGGTGAGCTTCTCAGAGGGATTCAACTGTACTTTTGTGATCACCATTATGATACTGAAATCTTGCAGTTTTATGGTATAGATGTGCCTTCTCAGATTATCAATAATAATTATTGGACAGCAAGTGAACAATCTCGTTCAGTAAGGAGAAGCAACACCTACAGCACTTTCACCCCATATCAACAAAAATAAAGACTAGAAGAATTGGAAAGCTTTGAAACAGTAATTTACTTTTTTGAACAATAGTATAACAAATCATTGAGGAACTGGTATATACTAGTACAAATTATAATCTCTAGGTAATATAGACAACTGTTTAATAGCAGTTTAGTAACAGACACATAAAAAGAGTAGCAATAAAAACCAACAAATACACATTTAATCTTGGTTGTGGAAGGAAACAAATCATGCTACTTAAACAACCAAGTATAAACATGCAACCAGACTCCATTTCACACAAGTATTGGACTAGTAATTCTGTTAATTTGCATCACAGATCACCCAATTTACTGTTCATGTATTCTAGTTAAGCTGGCAAATAGCATCGTGACAACACTCATGTTGGTTTTTTGCCACTACATTTGCACGTTTACTATCAACAGTAATGTAAACAAGACTGAAATTCTGCATCTGGTGTACAGAGAAATACAACCAATCAGGTACAAAACTCAAATAATTTATATTACAAATCTATATAAAAGTATATTTTTTCTCTGATAGCAAAATAAATTATACATCCACGATAGAAAATAATATTGGATTTTGCATCCAACTAGAGTAAATTGCATTCAGGCCTTTGTTTGACCAGAATAATATGTACTAGATAAATCATATATCTATAATAATGAAACATTTTACTTTATATTCATTTCATATAGTTTTGGAGCACCTTGTAATGTGCTGATGGCCCATAATATTACAGTTTATTGATAAAATAATATTAAATCTAAGTTTTCCAACAGGTAATTACAAGAAAATATATTATGTATTTCGTAGCCAATTTATGACTGCTGGCATTTGTAATCAGATGCTTTATACATCAACTCTTCAATAATTATGTGTTTTCTCTATTATAGTACATTCTTAATTGAAATATGAACAAATTATTACCATGATGTTAATTGTTCTTCTTTCAAAACAATGATAAGCAGAATTTAGTTTTACATATATTTTGATTACATTTTTATATATTTCTTAATCCATTATTATGTAAAGTTATTGGGCTAGGGTAAAAGAAACAAACGTATTACATAGTAATATTATTTCTCTCTTAAATTGATCTAGCATATTTTTATAAATTCCAAGCAATGCACTCCCCACTAGGATTAAAAGATAAAAATGCAGAAGAATTAGTACTGATCTATAAAAGATCTTCTCCTACATTTTACAAGTCAACTGGGTTTTCAAGGCAAATTCACTAGGACTTTTAGCACAGTTCATTTAAGTGAAAGTGGCTGACTCTCAGGTGCCAAGATAATTGGTTCTAGGAAGAATATAGTTTACCCTTAAGTAAAAAACAAAAGGACCAGTTTATTGTACCTTTTTTAATTTTTAGGTTTATGTGTCTCAATGACACATAGAAAACTGTCCAAAAAGTATTTTTCCGTGCACTTGAGCAAGTTTACTCCAGAAAGGTCCTGCTTAAGTCTGACACTAAGAAGACTGCAAAATTTGGGATTGTTGCCCAATTGCACCTCAAGATCCATTAATATTATTTCGTTACACAATTATAGTTAAACAATATGTTTATTCATATTTCAAGAGGTTGGTCTTTTCTTCACTTGCAAATTCACAAACATATATGGTGGCCTCTTCCTGAAAAACATACCAAGATGCAAAGAACCTTCTGGAACCTGAGATGCCAAAACCAGAAACACCCTGGAAGTGACACAGACACTTAAATTGCATGCAACCTAAAAGAACACATTACTTAAACAATTTCTTCAACAAACATTGTTTTGAACAAAATGAGGCAGTTTTTTTAGAAAATTTTTTAAGTCAAAATTTGTTTGTGGCACCTGTTACACTAATCACGGAATTGATAAGATCATAGGTAACGTCAAAAGACATATATCCAGGAACTGAAAACATGATTTTCTATGCATGCTTATCCCACTGGGTGGCCAGTGTTGTTGCACTTAACCAGCCCAGTCAAAATGTTTTCCAGTAGTAAGCAGGACAACCAGAGAAGCAGGTGGCAAGGACCTAAATTTGTCTGCTTTTTGTTTGACATTTTTAAACCTTAGTATTGTAGGCAGCAAATCTTCCACCGAAAGCAGCAAAATTGCTGGCTGCTCTCTCATTTTAACAGGGCTGTCTAACTGCAAATAAATACATCGTACTGGCAGCATGTTTTACCTTTTAACAGCTGTTATAGTTTGTGAATTGGAAGAAATATTTCTAGAACTCCAAACTTGTTTACTTGTATCTTAAGTCATGTGTTCCTTAATTTCTGTCATAGTTAATTAATCTCAGCTCCTTCTTTTTCAAGAGGCTACTGGGAAAAAACCAAAACAAAAGGTTTGCCAAAATGGTGGCAAATTTGAACGTTTTGTAAAATGTTTAAAAAATCACATTGTTCAAAACAAATATTTTTTTGGAGAGGTCCTTGTAGTAATGTGTACTTTCAATTGAAAAAATAAAAATTTTTAGGCTATGGGCACTTTAAAATCATGTTATACCTATCACACTATAAAAGCAGCAGACATTTAATAGAAATTTGCATCAATTTTTAGCTACCTAGTCTTTTCCTTTTTTCCTAATTGAAATAATTTTTGGCATTATATTACCCAGTGGGGATTGACAGAAAGTATAAACAAAAAGTATAAACACCTTTTGGGTACATGCAAGATAATAATATTATCTTGCATGTACCCAAAAGGTACTCAATGTGATAATAGCGAATTTAAATAATCAGCAAACTTCTTTTGTATTAAAAATTAGAGGGAACAACTGTTGATATCAAACATTTCAAATATACCTCTACATTATTAGAAAAACTGATTCACCAGTAGAGTTCTATCTACCTTCTAATCTGTATCGTAACTGCAGTACACTTTGTTCTTCCTTGATGATGAAGAAAGTGAATGCTTCCTACCAGGAGAGCTAGCTGGAAAGTTAAAGCCATGAGAAGGATCATGTAGTCTGTGATGGTGATCTAGAAAATTATCCCTCCTTGTACTAACACATGACCTTTGCTTTGAAGCTGGCACTAGCAAGCCTCTGAATTTCTCATCATGAGTGACTTCACAAGACTTGCACTCACCATGACTGCAGTGTTCTGTGTTACTGACAGTATTCTGACTTTCAATGAGTCTCTGTTCAACTGGTTCACTTTTGCCCTCACAAGAGACACTTTGAAGTAGTTCTCCATCATCCTCATTGATTACAGAATGTTCATTTATTTTCTCAACCAACTGACGTGTCAATTTAACACTGGACTCTCTCCTGGCACAATTTTTACTAACAACTTGTTTGACCTCCTGAGCCGGACCATCTGAAAGAGCTGATATAAGGCCTGCATCTTGAGGGACTGTCAAGTTTTTTGACCGTTTAATTGAAACTAAAGATCGTCCGGATCTGGAGGATTTAGTAGACTTTTGAGAACATGTGGATCTTCCACTGGGTATCCTGGAATGACTCCTCAAATTTTTGCTAACAGACCTCTGAAGGTTTTTCAAACTAGATGGTGCAATAATCCAGGGGTGCTTCAATGCATCCTCTGCTGTCATACGCTTTGCAGGGTCCAGTACTAACAGGCTATCAATGAAGTCCTTTGCAAGATCAGACACATCCCTCCATGCCTACAAACAAGAAAGTTATACCATAAGAAACATACCAAATACTGCACTGAGTATGTAATTTGCTCTTCTCAGGCATTTATATATAGCACATTCAAAAGACTAGGTGGTCGAGAAACCAACAAACAAATCACAATTATTTTCAGAAAAACATCATTTAAACTAAATTCGACTTTGAGGTGACATGAAGGCTTTGTAAAGATGGCTTGTTTGTATCGGCTGGAGTCATGAACTTATGGAGCCCAGTATAGGATATAGTTGTCTACTAAAGGAGTTGCCAGCCTTTTTTACAACTTTGGGACATAAGAAATTAACAGCATGGATTGCAAAAACAAAGGAAATGAAGCAAGAAATGATAACCTTAAAGCTGAACTGTGAGTTGATAAGATGATACTCTGTCAAGCAAAATGAACTTTGCAGGTGTGCTCAGGGGCCAATATACCAACCACATGGCCTAGTTGTGCTTTAAAAGAAACCAAACTAAGAAGTAACATGAATTAATCAACACTGTGATGCTAACTTGCACATGATGTTTACCTAACTGCTTTTCGAAATTTTAAAATAGGCCATTTCCGAGTTCCCCCAGGCCTTTGTATCAAAACGAGGTTAAGTGCTCAGCCTTTGATATGAAATTATTTTTCATTCTCATGCAAATAAAACTCACTTTCACAGGAAAGGTTGTGCACTTGGACTCATTTTGAAAGTGAGGGTTTTTGGAACTCGGAAGTGGCTCATTAACCCAACTGGATTTTGTCCAGTATCTTTATGATATTAGTAATTTGTAACATATAAATATCAATTAAATTCACGATTGAATTACAGTTGTTCTCTTTTTCTCCTTATTTTTTCTTCACGTGTCATACATTGTATAGCATTTTTAAGTTTTGTACACTGTAAGTAAACTGTTAAACAAATAAGAAAGAAAGGGAGAACATCATGCAGAGTAAATAAAAATTAGAATAAAAGAATGATCTGAATAGAATATTGTTCTAATATGTATGATTTTACTTTGAAAGACTAAGCTACCTATATACAGTCAAACCTCCCGTAAGCAATCACCGTAAATGCAAAGATTCAATGGTCGCTTACAAGAATTGAACCACGGGGAGGTCTTTTGCAACGTTCTCAGACATATACTTTTTAAAAGAGAATTTACTGCATGCAATTTCTAAGTTGCAATGTTATGCTTCCTGTTGTTGCTAAAAGTTCTTATACTCTTAGTAGCGTAGTACATGCAACAAACATAGGGATCACACTGTGTGTCAAATGGTCTCTTACAAGAGGTTAAAAACAATAGAAATTTTTATCTCCAGAGATGTGGTTGCAGCTATTTATGAGAGGCGATCATTTACAAGAGGGTCCAACTATAATATTTGAGTGGGAAAATTTTGGTGTATTAGATGAATGGTTGATTATGGCAGTTATGGGATGTGGTCACACAAGAAGATTTGACTCTATGTTGTATAACAGGTAAGACTACATACTTCTTTTAATGGAACAGGTAAATACATTGTGTTAATGACAGAAGATACTCTTTTAAATATTCTTACAATAGATAACCCTATCTTAATACTGTAAAACAAGAAAAATATTCAGCCCAAAGTCTAGGCCTTTCACTATGGTCCAACTGCTTTAAGAAGGACAAGGCAGAAATAACTGAAGAGGGCCATGAAAAAGGGTGACTAAACTTCGTTAAGTGACTTAGTGTTATTTACTTCTATTGACTCATAAAAATATTTACCTTTGTGATTAAATAAACAATATTATTACTTGAATTAGGATTAAAATTGTAAATATATAAAATTAATCATCTGATATTAGCAAGAACATTTTAATTGTATTTAATTTTCTTCAGGAAATCTTGGTCTAACTCATTTTACCCTAGATGTGTCCAGGTGCAACAACCACCACAAAGTAATACAGTGCAAGCATTAAACTATTTATGATGAAAAAATAGTCCAGTTTCAAATAAAAATTACTGCTGAAGACAAACATTAACAGCACATTGGTAAAGGGGTAACCTCAAGGGCCTGATTACATGAGCCGGGCTGGTTCGCTTTGCGGAGATCCTGGCACCTTAGTTAAATGCAACAAAAACCAGCTTTGCGATTATATGACAACCAAGCCTGCCCAGTTAGCTGGGATCCCTGTATTGTGATGCCGGGATCCCGAGTGGAAATTTTCCTGGTAATCACGCTTGTGGGGCAGCCCAGCGAATGAACCAAGCAAGAAACATGACAGCAGGTAACACACTGTTCATGTGCATTGCTTTCCGGCTCGTGATCAGGCCCTTACTGTGATTTGTATTGTCGCGCAGTTTGCATGTGAAAACTTTGGAATTTGCCGCTTTGTGGCTTGTGTATGAGGGAATATGACTTAATGTAATTAACCTAAGAGATTTAAAAATAGAACGCAGTTTGCAGGTGAAGATGTTCGACTCTGCCCCTATTACAGTTCAACCGTGACAGAATACAACTTGTTTACGAGGTCATTTTGCTCAATAAGACTTTAAGAAATCACCTCCTTTCCAAAAATATGCAATGAAATTATGCATCATTCAATTAATTATCTCATGCACGAGATCATGGAATTATGCGTGACATCTTCTTTGGCGCTCGACAACTGAGAGCAAAAATATTGTCAAACTCTTGGCAATAAGCCAAACCATTCACACTGTGTGCTGCGAGGACAATTATTTTCTAAAGGGAAAATTTAAATTACTTAATAGTTAATGTTTCACTTAGTGTAACTTGTTTTTCCAAAAAGTTTGTTTTCTATTGCAATTTGTTTGTCTTGGGTTATCTGTGGGTCATATGTGAAGATGATAAATGCTGTGTTGTGACATAGCGCGCGCAGTAGACACTCGCATTGCTTGGATTGTTTATGTTCGCACATATTGCATACCTATTGCAACTTTGAATCAAAACAAACAAACTCTATTTTTCTATTTGGGCATCAATAATCAACGTTTACTCAGACTGAAGCAGTATCCTTATTGTTTGCTCTAAAGGTTGTAGACATGAAATCACCTTAGCAACCAAAGGCAGAGAGGATTGTGACCCTTTTTCCTGCCATTTGTTATGTTCCCCATTTGCCCTTTCAAGGTGAAGGGGACAGCCTTCACCTTGATCAAAATGTCAGAACTAACTGCAATAACATGAAATAATTTCATGTTAATCTCCATTTCTTGTAAATGTGGCACTTGATCTCCAATATACTCATTAAAAAAGATGGGGGAATTGTACAAAGAACAAGGGAAGATTTTTTATGTGCCATAACATAAAGGAACCAGTGTTCTTAGACCTGTAACACTGTTAAACTACAATACATGACACTTGTCACAGAATTGTTTATTGTATAAGGATTAGAGAGTAATTTGTCGAAACAAAAAATGTCACTAAAAATAGCTTTTGGTTTTCAGCCAAAATTTCAAAACTAACATTCAGCCCCGTTTTGAGGAAATTTAATCTTTGTTTGATACATGAAAGGGTTTTAAATCCTATCAAAGTGTTAGGCACGAATTTATAGAAACTAAAGTCTGATCGTTTCATGGTCATTCAGCCGCTTGTGAAGAAATGGTCCACTGTGAAGAAATGGTCCATTTGACAGCAAATCACAACAAATGATTACGAATAACTGTTAAGAAAACAATGCCGCGGTATATGAGTTGGGATAAACGTCAACAAAAACACGTTTTGATCACTAGAAATTTCTGAGGAATGCTGTCCCGACTATGAGCCCACCCAAATAAGATAAACCCGCCGCTTCAAGATCATACAGCGCGCAGAGCGTAGACGTCCAAGAATAACATTTACGACTAGCGGCGATGGCTTATCTATCAAAGCCCAGCACAAAGGAGTGATGCCCCAAAAATAATGACAGGAAATTTCGTACTGTTTTACTACACACAACATCCGACCATGACAATCATTAGTCAAGGGTTTCAAACTCAAACTACGTCAGTGATCATGTGTATTGTTATAACTGATTGTTCAAAATGAATTGATTCTTTCCCCTCCGATGTTGCCAAAGAAACTAGTTGTTATAAAATGATTCGTCCCTTGGAGAAAGGACAAGACCGAACATTCCAGACCGAAATGAGTCAAACAATGAAGTTCGCACCTTGAACACAGACAATAGTTTTCTATTTTTTCCTCCTTGAATCACCATAGATTTGATATACAAATTTGCAAACGAAGAGCTTAGTAGATAATTTGCCTTCTTCAATAAAACCATTATGTGATGAAAGTGATCTCATTCGAGGAAGGTTAAGTAGGTCGATCTTCCGCAATTATTTTAGCTATGTAACGAAAGAGAAAACGTTCCTGTACAGGCGCCCTGGATAATACCGATTTTCTTAGGTCGAGAAACAGTCGCACACCATGAAAGTTTCTTGGAACAAGCAGTGCTTACAATATAACGCAAAAAATTCATTTAAATTTTTCTCTTAATAAACAAAATATATGCGAATACTTAAACTCGGAATGTAACTGATAGGCATCTTCATTTTGCAGTCGACATTTCCAAACATGCGTTAACTGATACCGTCGAGTCTCGACTGAGCAAATTCTCACGATATTCCTCTTGCTCAGTTTTCATACTCCACAAAAAATAAAGTAGTAACAAGTATAATCAATTAATATGATTACATCCGAGCTGGCTAGTCCCGCAAAGTGAATCGTCGAAGTTTCGTTAACAGACAAATATAAACATATAACTTTGGGTAAGTTGGTCTAAGTTAACTCACCTCGCCGCTATAGCTATATCTCGCATCCAAAATAGCCTTGTACAATCTCCTTCGGTTTTCATCCGCAAATGGCATTTGTCCGCTAAGAAGTACGTGTGTGATAACACCAATTGACCACATGTCCACCGCGTTTGTGTACGGTTGTCTCAAGAGAATCTCGGGGGCGATATATTCCGGCGTTCCACAAGTTGTATCCATTGTCTCGTTCTTTGCATTCTGCCGGGTTTTCGATAACCCAAAATCTGTTATCAAAATTCTAGAGTCGGGACCCGGGTGATAGTACAGTAAGTTCTCCGGTTTGAGGTCTCGGTGAGTTATGCCGAGCGAGTGAAGATAGCGGACTCCTTCAAGCACCATGCACAGCACCTCAGTGGCATCTTTCTCCGTAAAGGAACCTCTAGAGACTATTCGTTCAAAAAGTTCGCCTCCGGTCGCTAGCTCCATTACTAAATAAACCCTTTCTGCACACTGAAAGACTTCAAACAACTTGACGATATACTTATGGTTTACTTTACGCAAGACAGCCACTTCGGATTCCAGCGTGTCTTTTCCCCCTTCTATTTTGATCATCTTTAGCGCATAGGGTTCTTTTGTAACTTTATGTTCCACTCGAACAACCCGACTAAACGATCCCCTACCAATGAGGGCCTTGATGTCATAATTTTCGGTCACGATAGGATCAAATCTGAATCTCCCTTGAATAACACGACCTTTCTTGGGTTTCTTCTCCGCGTTTTTACCCACTTCATTGTTCACTCTTGGAGGAGGGCAAAATTCACGTGACGGAACATCGTATAATTTACTCGTCTTTGTGTGCTCCTCGTCCTCTGGTAACTTTTTGGTATTGTTGCAACCCATTATGACCCCAGAATTCCTCGAAAACAGTAACTGCTCCTCTGTTTAAGGATCATAAACATTGCGGGACGACATCTGGGAGAGTGTTCACTCACGAATACTACACATGAATGAAACCTTACACTGCACTTGTCCGAAGTTCTGTCTGACTACTGAACTTGTCGGGTCGGTTACATGTGCGTGACGTCAACCGTGCCCAATCAAATTCACCGAACAATGTTAGTTCGACCAATCACATTTTTGTTAAAGAATTTCATCGATTTCTTTTTGTACATTGTTCGAAAATTTTGAGAAGGTTGTTGACAGAATGCTGTAAGATGGACGTTCACGGCGAATAGGAGAGCTGTACGAAAACAATGATCTTGTGAAGACCTCACACAGTGATCAAAGCTTGCTATGGTAAAATAAAGTTTGCGTCGATGGACCCAAAGTCACAAACTCCGGTAGCGTTTGCTCCTAGATCTTCAGGATTTGTTGTTTGATCTGGTTACGTATGTCAGAATTTGATAAAGTCCTGGCCCTATGTTTGGCATGTTTGAAAGAATTACTTGGCTGACACTCTTTGCCTTTGATTTGCCGGCGCGCTCTTTACGAGGTCGTCTGCTGGCCAACCGCATATGTTTTGTTTTGCCATGTTTGTTTTGACGGTCTGTTTCACGTGATGGGGGCAAAATGCACTATTTCCTGATTACTATACATGTCGCTGTACTCTGTTACACGGCCGGATACGACGAGTTTTGATAGTGGAAATCCTTGGCGGGAAAATTTCACAGCTACTCCAAGATTGTAGCCGACCAAACTCACTGGAAATATGTTAAGGGTTAACATGTTTCACTGTGACTTCTAGGTTAGGTATCAAGGCCCATACCCCGCGCCCCGCCCTCAGGCGAAGATATCCCGGTGCTTGAACTGTCCTTCTGATCTGCAAATATCAATTGTTCATTGCCAAATAACAACTTTGTCAGTCGTGGTCCTCATCCGATTTTTACCGAAAAAGCCCTCTGGCACTTAGTTCAGGAAAAGTGATACGTTCACATAAGACAACTCACGCTTACTTTCATTCCAAATCACTTGATCAAAAAGGTAATATACTTGATAAAAGCCCTTTTGGAACCAAGGTAAATTAAAGTGAATTGTATCACGAAGATGTTTTTTTTAAATTGCTGATTTATAGTAGACGGAGTTCATTACATTGCTACACGACATTGGCATTTTTTTGCAATTTATTTAAATCAAATATTTCCGGTTTATTTCCTTTGGCGTTTTAAAAACATTTAGCCAGTACTCATCTGAAACTTACGGTATGAAAATCAGTCAACAGCAATTACGCTCCCAGTAGAACGGTAGATGCCTATTAAAGGATTTTTTAAAGCGTTTAAACTGGTCGTTTCTAAAGCAACAAGACTATTCACCTATGAAACAAGTCGCCAAAACTACCCTTGATAGCCCGGCGAAGGGCTACTCAATAAAGATTTATACGGGGAATTTCCACCTTAAGGAAAACGTACCCCTTTCGTATACCTGCCTTTGAAAAAAATGGTACCTTTTAACATACCTACTTAATGAAAAAAAATCGCTAAAACAGGAAGTCTTTGATAAATGAAAATGATAAAGCCATAAGGGGCATCTTTTGAAAACATCATTTTCATTTGAGGCTGTTTTAAACACTCAAATCATAGATTTTCGTATCCTTTCGTGTACTCGTGAATTCCTTTCCTGTTGCCCAGAACCTTAGGGCGGAGCCTCCCCATATAAGGCCATTATAGACTGGAGTGTCCCCCGGTCAGGTAACTGTAGATTTCTTTTTTAAAAAAACTGATATGTGTACGTAACCCCTCGTGTGGGAAAAGACGACTCGCGTAGTAAACAAACCTGTTGCTTTTATTTAAGTGGCCCCGGCCGTCAATGTGCGGACGAATCCGCCGTCAGTTAAATTTTACTATAATTTGCATGCTTTTAACTAAACACTGTGAGATCAGGAGTTGAGCATGTGTTTTAATTGTTAAAGACAAGCCCCTACAGATAAAATCCGGAGAAAATGCTATGCTATTACCCTTACGTAACAGACAGATTAATTACACAAACTCATTTAGAATGAATCTACAGGAACTATCTCATCGTGTATGAACTGGTGGCAATCAGCTCAAATAGTTGGAGATTTTCGGCATGTACCCGACTTCATAGGCACGTTTTTTTACCGAGTATGGAACAGTTCATCAAGAGAGATCTCACTTGTCATTTCCTCTGGGCATACGTCCAGAAAATCCCAACCACAGTTTAGGATTAACACTAGAAAAAAAAACTTAAGGTGTCTGGAAAAGTCAAACATCTTTGTGCCCTAATTGATCACGCGCGTGTCTGAGTAGAATGCTTTCAAACTGATCGCGGCGTAATCTCATTCAGCTGAAGTATTTGTCGTGTTTGTGGAGCAGACGTTTACAACGAAAAACAAACAGAGCCACATGAAACTACTTCACCGTATGTATGGCTTTCATGGGAAGGTTCCAAAGATATATTAACGACACAAGTGATTCTTATCTTCTGGCCTATTTTTAGTCATGTGGGTTTTTTATCCGATCACGCATGAGGTAAGGGGAGGCTAAGACCACACTGAAGCCGAATTAAAAAAAAAAAAAACATTTACGACACTGATTTTATCGCGTGGATGTTATTTTCTCTACAACGTAACGAAACCACGAAAACAAAAAGTAAGAGGGAAAGACGCAATCTCTCATGGAATGAGATATTCATTCTTAAGCGCCCAATTGTTTCTGATGTTAATTATTATTATTCCATATTACGAGCTTTTAACAATATTTATTTACATAAGGTATTTGAAGGTTTGGTTTTCAAATTATAGAAGAGAAAGATTTTCTTCCTCTTCTAGACGTGTTTGAATGTGCACCAATGTATAGGGCGGGGCTCTTCTTGCCACTACATGGGAAGATCGCCCACCCTATATTGTAACGAGGCCCTTTACACGGAATGGGAAAATTTGCCTTAAAATCTTCTTTATTTAGGTGTCAATGTATTTAGCACCCCCGGGCCCCTCCCCTGGATCCGCCGCTGCAAATTGAGGATACTGTTTTACTGGACGGCTATTCTTTTACGTGGACGTCCTAGCCACGCGAAGGTCTAACCACCCGAAGGGCAAAAGCGTGAACCAAAAGATATAACAATTATCTTGAAAAAAACTTTGTAGGCGTACAGTATAATAGGCAGTTACCACACCAAAGTAAAGTACTGATGCCTTCACTTGAACACAGGGTTAAAACTGAATACAGAACATGAAGAAAAGTGTCCGAATCAAACGATGAATTTCAAGTGGAATTCCGCCACTTGCAATCCAGTTCATTAGTCCTGTTCAGTGGTAAGGGTATGCAAGATCATCAAAAAAGGACAATCTGCAAAATTGGCGGAGAACTGATTCACACAACGTTTTTATGATGTCACGCTTCCGACAGAGATAATAGGACGGCTCAAAACTATAACAACTATAGGTAATCCATGTTTTTTTCTATTCTTATTAATCCATCATTTTTTTTTTCTTGTTTGTGGTGTGAAACGGGACGAGGGTCATTATTGTGCGGAGCTACGTACGTGCTCGGTCTTGGACTGCAACACTTAAAAAGGCATAGGTCAGTCAATTGTCAGTCTTCTTTGATGGTGAGTCGTGTTCATATGAGCCTTGCCACTTTGGACGTCTTAACATTCAAAATAGCCCAAAACCTCAATTTTTTTCGCGAGAAAGAATAATACATACCAAAACAAAATAGGAAAGAATCGCGTTTTTCTGAGCTGTTTTTACATATCTGAAAATCAACAGTGACAGGTTAGTGGAGGTGAAAAAATAGTATATAATTAGTGCAACCAGGAGACCGTGATGCACCTTGGCAAACTAGGTACTCATACAAGAATACTGGTCTGAATATGCTTTTATCTACGCTCAATTTTCAGTGTTGTTGGCAAAAGCAGGGCTAAACTAGAATGCTAACCTAATTTGTTGTCCTGTTCGCCTTCGAGCTAAGCCAGCTAACGGAATGCAGGCAAAAACTTACATGTAATCATGTTCCGATAATCCGTGCGAAAAACTGTAAAAAGAGAACATTTATTTAGAACAGAATTTAAAAGCTACAGTAAGCCGTTTACTCCTCAGTGAACTGACAGTTTAAGATGGCTAACAATCTTCACATGTCACTGATTTCTTGGCTGAACCCTCCACAGCGTTTCTAGCGGGTCAAGACCCCTTTTTTGCGACAATAGTACGAAGGTTTGTGATGTGCAAGACACTCAGTAATTTAGGATAAGCAGCTTTTCTATTTACAACAAACAAAGTTGCGTTATTGACCCTTTTCTTAAAAGACATCTATTGGGAGTCTTTGTTCTTCAACTTTATACCTTTCGTTTATGTAGTTGAAATTTTTCCCTCCCTGTTACGTGTAGAAGTGCTGTATGCCCTACGCCGATCTCTCCAGATCAGTCTAATCAGTGGATATCAAATCTGGGCTAGTTTCTGGAGCACTGCCATTGCTGTTTATCCCGCCGGTGGTCTGAGCCCGTAGATGAGTAAATTGTTTATTTGGAGAAACAAAGAACTTATTTTATTGACAGCTTAAAAATTAAATAATACATTGGCAAGGACACTCTTGGCTTCCTTTGGCAACATTTTGGCAGACACCTCATTTTCCAAGTGCACTTTCACCTATCCTCCCCGTGTCTGGCGGCACATAGAGCTTTCACGGAGATTCTCCATCTTTTTCTGTTGGCTGCTAGAACTCACACCTCCCCTCCACGTTCCTCCTCCATGTAGTTTTGGGTCTTCCTCTTCGTCTCTTTTCCTTTGGCGCCTAAGTCATTGCTACATTGCAATTACTGTCTCGTTCTTGTCTCAGGATATCATGAGCCAATCATTTTCCGTCGTCTTGACTAAATTTCATCACTCAGAAGCTTCATTCTGGCTCTTTCTAGCTTCCACAGCTGGCGGTCAGTTTTTTGTGTGTGTAGGGTGGTGTTTTCGTTTGTGGTTCAAAGTGAGAGCTTCAGCCGCGAAAGGTGAACCGAGGTCAAACGCGAAGGGGGGCAGGAGAAGGCTTTTCTCGATTGACCTCGCGCGCGAGTGTCTCGAACACACAAAAAATTTACCAAAACTCCACCAGCCACGCAAGCTAGGCTCTTTCCACTAACCCCTCAATTCTCAGCGTTTCCTAGTTAGTTCAAGTAAAGGGGGAGTTTGAGGAAGGAACGAGAGCCCTTGCCTTCCGCTAGCCTCGCTTTTATTTATACACATTCTCGGAAATGAGTCGGTTCAGAGCGGCTTCCGAAAAGGGGCTAACCAGATCTTTCGTATTAAATCATCGTGTTTGTTTGTTTCAGTTGGGTTTAACCTCCGTTCTACCGGATCGTTTCGTGCGGCTGCGAGATTGAAACTAATGTTCACTCCTTATTTGGCCTAAACGAGTATCTGCTTCCAACAACGTAGTACATTTCACTATTTAACGTCTTACAGCATGTCTTTTTAGAACTGGACGTCTTGAACAGGGTGGGAACGTTTTTTCATCTAATTCTATGATGTCAGTTTTCATGATCTATGTGAAATGAAAAATCAGGCAAACAAAACAAGTGAAACACACGATCTATGTTCTTTAGCAGGAAACTGTTAATCAGTAACACAAAAAAAGGTCTCTTAAACAAACAGGGTGGCGAAATAAACATGTCAAAACAAGGGTGACGGTTTTGAAATTCTCAGCAACACCCTCAACCCAATTTTCTTTTAACTGTTCCCCAGGAGCGTTCCGTCAGTGCAGTGAGCTTTTAAACACCCAAGCTCATTAATGACATCGAGAAGCGGCAACACGTCGAAGTTGTGTGTGCAACAGCCTTAAACGCAATGAAAATGAACTGTACAGTCAATATGGGGCGTGTAACACCAATAATTGATTGGTTCATTTTGGTTTTTCTTTGCTCGAATGTAAACGCTAAGAAGCCGGTAGACTGCAAAACAGTCGAAGTTTTTTCTCTACCCGGTCTTGCTCTCCGTTTTCAGCCTCGCTCCAGACCTTTGGTCGTACTGTTTGCACATAAATACGGACTGTTTTGCCGTCTAAAAGGCCGGCGTATGGTCAATGTCGCTTGTAGGGTACAGGGTATTAATTGCGTTTGGTCGCGTGTCGTCTAAGATATCCTTCCTGCGGACATTCAATCCACTCACGCTTTTCGATTATTCCCTTATAGCCATCACGTCTTCATGTATAACGACTTGTACACATACACATAAGTGGGGTGGCCGAGTCAAAGCTACCCCCGTCCCGTTCCGTCAAAAACAGGAAAGAGTGTACATAAACAAAGATTCGTGCTTAACATGTTAATACTGTCCACAATGCAACAGCTTGTGGGAGCATCTTCGTCAGGTTGAAGCCACGTTACCGGGGAAACTGAAAAGTTTGATACGCGGAACCAGACGCGTGAGATGTTCCACTTAAAACTAAAAACAATCTTCCAAATTTTTCAAACTTTTATGCCGAGAATCAGACATGAAGACTGCGCTGTACAACTCAAGACCTTGACGAAGACGAAATATATTTTACTCCCAAAAATGAGCAATTTGCCATCTGCACATCTCTGATCATTACATAATACACCTTGTTTCACCTCCATCCACCCTTCTCATTCGTTACTCTTTTAAACCAAACATGCGTGTCATTATCGGGAACTGTCATTTCCTATTAAGTATTATAATGGAATCAGTGATAAAAGTAGAGGCGAGGTTCCTACGTACTGAGAAATTTACACAAACTTGTCACTTCCAAAAAGTAAGGTTGGCGTCTCGTGCAAATGCGAAACGGTTCCCTTCTATTAAAACTGTTATTGCTCCTGGGTGGCGCTTGCTTATGGGTGCTCATCATTATCAATTTCACCGGAATACAAATTTTATTTAAGCAAAAAAACTTTCACGCCCTCAAAAAAAGCAAGAAAAGAGTAATAGTCCTTTCAGAGTGGTTGCCAGGCGCCATACTGTCGGGATTTGGAAAAGAAGAGAGTATTTCCTTTTTTAATATCAAATGGATTTCTCAAGCAGAGAAAGTACATTAATTTTGAAATAGGAAGTCTACAGTGCTACGTGAAAGTCGCGGCTTTCACATACAGGGGAATCCATATTCTCGAACCCCCTATTTTTCAAACCAATAAGTTGAACTTTGATTTTCCGGGAATAAGATCAAAAGCGACCCTTCATCCACAGAGTGTCTTATTCTCATCATTGCAAAATCGTCGCAGTTACTAGCCATTTCTGTTTTTTTTTTCTTTGTCTGAACGCTTTAATACCAATAACAGAATGCCAAGAAGCTGAGGCGCCAAAAACCTTACCCTAATAAAATATAAAACGGAAACCTTTTAAGGAAACAAGTAATACCTTTTGTTGTTGCTTTATAATTCTTTTTCCTGAAGTACAATTGTAAATGTTACGAAAGCCAGGAAAGAAGGTTGAGCTACAAGGGAACGTGCGACACATTTTACATCTGAATCATGAACACTCAAACGGAAAGATTTTAAAAAGACAATGTGATCATGTGTTTACAGGAACAAATCCCAAGGTAGAAAGACATACATGTATTAAACCAGGAGCCGATTACCTGGAGTTTACTTCGGAAAGCACGCGAATGATCTCAGTTTTTTAAGGAAAAAAAATAGAACAACAACAACAACAACATCATAGTCACTTCCAGAACCGGAAAGCGACGAGAACCGAAGTTTTTTATGTGATGGCAGAAATAAAAAAATAAAAATAAAATATTCAGAAACAGTATCATATGACCATATTTTTTTCTCCGCAGAACGCTGCATAACATTTTAGAGCGGAAAATACAAACAAGCCAACACTAGCCTGTGAACAGGCTCCCTGTTTGGGGAAAGGGTGGAAAAATCGCGAGGAGAGGTAAAGATGTCCACAGGCCAAGCCAACACCAGAGGCCAATTGCCTACAGTGGCCATATTTGGGAGTTTTTAGCTCCCTATTCACCAAGACGTAGAAAAGATAGTAACATTCAGCTACTAGAGGTCTTAGGTCTTCAAGAAATACGGCAGACAAACTGCTGCAAAAATGTGTGCCAAAACGATGATCCTGAAACTGTCAACACCTTCAGTGGTAAGTAATATAAAGATAATAAAGAAGTTAGATGAAACCGCAAGAAAAACAAACACACGGAGTTAAGGGCCTAGCGGATGTCTTATGACATTTTGTTTTAATTCCATACTACTGCTTTCAATTACGTATTGACTGCAAGCAAGCCCTCTGGGCGTAGGGGGACAGAAAAAATTTTAATCTCACCTGTCCTAGAATTCTACAGAGAGCTTGCTCCCAGGCTAGATTACTTATTGCTGTTCTACAATTCAACTTGCAACGCTTTAATGCCAACTACGCACAGTTGGCTGAGCGTTCTTAAACATTTGTCGATCAACAAACGCCGAGCGATGTTGTTGGTTAAAACATGTTGTAACTTGTTAAACGCAACAGAGCCCGTCTTCATTCTCGTTCAACATGTTGCTGTATTAACATTCCAAGTGACATTACACAAGAGCAAGCAGCAACCTTCATTGATCAGCAATTATTGATTTTAAAAATGTCTTGATCGTTCTCTCCTATATTTTACCTACGGGCACCTCATGCAATAAACCTCTCTCAGTCGTCGACCGGAAACGTTTGTTCAAAAGCAGAGAGATTCATCTCTACCTTTATCTCTACCAAAGGCAGTTTCTACGCAATGACAAACCCACACAATGAGAATCTGTTAACGAAAGTGATCTGTCCTTCGTTTTCTCACGGTCCCAATTTCCCATGACTAGTGTTTACCAATTAAAGAAACCTTTCAGGACGAAAATGTTTGAGCACGTATACTACCCGCAAGTCACGAATGTAAATGTTTGAACTTGCCGGCTTCGTGAGAATTCAAGGTTAAATAATATCAAATTTTGTTCAATTCTCTATGTTCGTTCCTTGCAGAAGCGTGCGAACTCAGTGTGACCCATCCGCTTTAACCTTTCCGCGCCTTAAAGAGATCGTCATCGATAGGGTGGCCAGTTTCCTGATGTAAACACGTAGCCGGAAAATTCCGAATTCCAACCGTAAGTATGGCAGCTTAAGATCATGAAAGGGGTCATTTTGTAGACCAATTACTCTGCTTTAGACCATGCTTTGTTTTCGTTCCTGCTTGTGGCGGCTGAAATAACTGATTTTCAGAGCAGAATTTTCCATTCTTCGTGGGTGTTTCTCCTTTACAGCTTCTTTAGTGCTGTCATCAGAAGATCGGTCACGATTTCCGGTTACTTGGCTTATTGTATGGTTTATTTCCGTGAAGTTTTAAGTTATCCGCAACACATGAGGTAGCCTGACAAAACAATAAAATAAATAAATAAATTCCACAATAACTTTGTAGATAACTTCTTTTCTCTCCCCATTTTATTAAAGACGGCTTCACCCCAATGTAATAAAGTTTATGAGAATGCTGTACTTTTGAACGTCACTGAGTATCGTACGAGGTGGAATCTTTACTAACCGCCCATACTATACATTTTACAGTGATTTCAGAACTACGAACATTCGCACAGACTCAAGATAAAGGCACAAATGTAGTTCAAATGAACATTTATGAGTTATACATGGTCATTCGTTAGTGTGCACGTAGTATGAAATTAAATGTGGCAATTTTTTCAAAAAGAAATTGGCAAACTTTCAAATCGGCAAAACATTCTGACGGAAAAAAAAAATAAACCGACAAAACAAACAAAAAGATAAGCATGATGTGGCACGCCAAAGAATATGGTTCTTTGAGTCACCGTTTCACGCAGGGACTACGCGTTTTTTTTTTCGGACAGAAAAAAAGGAAACTTCATAAAAAAGGAAAACTTGGGAATAAAACAAGAAAGTGGAAACCAAATGCAGAAGAAGAGCCGTGCAATTTTAATCAAAGTGAACCTCTCATGTTAATAGTGTAATAAAACATTTTCATAATAGCTCGCCGAAAATCAAAGTCGGCCAGAACGGGTTAACAAGATTAAGACGAAGAGAGGACGAGCATTTGTTGGGCGCAGGCATCATCGGGAATAAATACCCGTGTGATAGTCACCCTTTGTTAATAACGGGGGCTATAATGCCCTTATTTCCTATTTGTATTAAAACTTTTTCCTCATCTCTCCCCTGACATTCTGCTCTCTATTATCGTTTCCTTAACTGTCTCTAGCTTTGCCGACTCTTTTTGTAAGTCGCCAAGTGAATTTTGAGGTTCTCGTTGAATGTGAGTTCGTGAAGCAAAAATATTTCGAGCCTTACTTCTTTGTACAAAAAGGGTGCCACATTTGTTTGCTAACTCTCTTTGAGAATACCTTTCGTGTTCATAAGGACACCTTTGTAATATCTTTTTCATGTAGTCCTCTTCGAACCCCAGACAAATTCTTCAATTTCGATTGGTTAATAAGAAAGCCTTCAGAAGGGACAATGGGCAGTTGTTCCTTTACAAATGATATACCATATGTGGTCTTATAGTTTCCAATTTCGACAAATCTCGCATATTCATGTGAAAAAGCGGTCAACTAATAGTAAAAAGTCAATCCGGGTAAACCACCGATGTTTGAGCTTGCCAAAAAGAACCAGACTAACAAATACCAGGATTTATAAATAGCCAGGTTAAATAGATTTATTCATAAGCGTTAAAGTATGGCATTAATTGGGTTTTCCTGCATGTTCAGACCTTGGCAGAACGTATATCCAAGGTAGAGGTTACAATCTCCTGTTTTAGCACCTTTTGATACATTAGGTAATTAGATGTGGTATGTTAGTAAGTGGGTTAACACGATGCATTGATAGATACGCGCGGCAAGGTCAGTAAATCCAAGGTAAACGTCAAAATCTCCTGTATTAGTGACAGCCGACTTAATTTTTTTTCTTGAGAGTCCGTCTGTCGAGTTCGACTTCACAGTTGGTTTGGCTATTTAACAATTATTCCAAGAGTGCGCGTTGGATATGAGATGGTAGATAGTCAACGAGGCGCGTTCAATAAAAACGCCCACAAAATATCGAGAATTCTTCCCGACTTTATTCGATTTTCGGGTATAATGTGTCTTAGAAAATCCAACTAATGGTCTGTTGTCAATGCTGCGTTCTGATTGGTTGAGCTACTACTAGGCTATAAGGTATAGCCCACTAATAGCGAAAAGCAAGGCTTTGAAAACCAAAACAATGGCGGCTGAATCGCGTTTTGCTAGCTAAAGTTGTTTTGTCTCGATATTTCGGTGAAATAAGAAAGCCAGTGAAACCTCTATTAAGCGGACCCCCAATTAAGCAGACACTAAGCCGGCTCGGCGAAATTAACGTCTTATATTTCCCTTTATGACGAAGCCCTGTTTAGCGGACACCTCTATTAAGCGGACGCGGACACTAAAATAAATTGTATTTGGTTAATTTCTATTGTTTAAAACCTCTATCAAGCGGACACCGGACTGAATCGACAATAGTAGTTTTGGATTACGTCCTTGAAATACGTACTGTAGTCTGTTATAAAGATAAATCAATACATTTAGCTCTCGACATCCGGCCGTATGATTGTCATCCGCATATCCGCGATCAAAGTTCACCTAAAAGTATCGCACAAAGTACAGCACAGCTTTCTAAGCTTCCTTAACAACACAAAACTTTATCACAACACAGAGTAACCGTTGAATGTTAACCGTTAACAAAAATTGCGCAATTTGTACAAAGTTCTATTAAGCGAACGCCCTCTATCAAGCGGACACTTGGGAAGGTCCCGAAGGTGTCCGCTTAATAGAGGTTTTATTGTAGTTGGATTTTAATAAAACAATTATTCCTTTCGGCCTCATGAGCTATTGACTCAGAGCCCATTCGGGCTCGAGGCTAAGCCAATCAGAGCTCTAGAACTGCATTATCGAATGATTCAGTTTTTAATAATATAAAATACGTTTAAAGGAGAGAATAATTCGCTTGGCAAATAGTACCAATGTTACGTTAAACGTAGTATACTTCCTAGTAAAATGCACCGAATATTCACAACAGCTGTACAACGCATGACACAGTGACAGGAGTGTGTATGTTTGATGAGGGGGGTGAATAGGGGTATACAAATCTGCCGATCCGTTATGATTTATTAACCAAATCCGCCCTTCCATTTTCGCCAAGAGTCCGAAATCCGGGCAAAAATATATCAATTACACGTAAAGTCCAAAATCCGCGCCCAAAAAATAGATGAAACTGCAATCCGCTGCAATTGCAGGATCCGGAAATCCGTTAAAATATCGCTTTGAATCCGTAATCCGGGCAAAAATATTTTCAAAATTCGCCGATCCGTTCGCCTATTCACCCCCTTCTTTGATAGTTATTTAGCATTTTCGATACTCTTATGAGCGTCCTCGAGGAGATACGAAAACATTTATAACAAAATGGTAAAAGTTCTAATTAAGTCCTCTTAAATCTGGGAAACAGATGATATCTCTTGACATCCTTTCCGTATACCAGTCAATACTGGTCTATACGGTTAGAAAGTACAGTCACTGCCTGACTATCTCTAAGACGGATACTGCCGTATGGACCGGGAACGAGCGTCTGTATTTGAGAGTGAAATGAAAATGAATGAAAAGCGAAAGAGACCACCTCTTGGGGTCCATTTTATGGAGGAGTCTATAAAAAGAAAGTTTTCGAAAGAAATAGTTGACTGTCATCTTCCGAATGGGTCGGGTTTCCAGCTATAATTAGGCTGCAAAATAGGCCCGTATATATAACCGTGTCTCATAGAGAGGAGGGCGAGAGAGGACCTTCCAACATCCTAGGAAGAAGAAAGAAGGGCTTACTCACTGGCAAAAGTCCAAGAAAGAGATGGTATGGGATTTGAACTGAAAAACCGTTGTCTTTGATCAATTGCAGCACTAAATGTACCAGGGGTTTCGATGCTGAAAATTGAAGTAGCCAGCAGGTTTGAAAAAAGTAACCGACTGCATCAAAAAGAGGCTTTTACTCCCCTTCTTCAAAAGGGGTCTGGGGGTGTGCTTCCTTTGAAAATTTCGAAATTTCAATGCCCTAAAATGCGATTTCCAGCGTTCTTGGCACTAAATTGATTACAAAAGATAATGTGTTTTCGATCAATTTGGACAAGTAATGCACAGTAAGTTCCAAACTTTTCTTAAATATTTTAATTCTGAAGCAAAAAGTCTGTCTAGGTCAAGGAAATTGAATTTTGATATAAGTTTTGACAGAATCTTTCTTTAAATCAATACTTTATTTCCAACGTCCAATTTAGGGGGGGAAAGTAGCCGACTTCTCTGAGCAAAGTAGCCGACGTGTTTTGTCGGTCGTCGGTGCTTATTGAAACCCCTGATTGTAATATCTAATTTTTTCCCGTCAAAATCTCCAGTAAAGTCCTTCTGATTTGATGAAAATTAACCCGTCTTAAGTCACCACGTTTGCCATGGTTGTTAGGGAGAAGCCTTACTTAAGACTGCAATCTCTAAAGGGCGATATTGTTCATGTGAAGATGAAACCTTCGTGGAGAGGGCGTATCAGAGTATTTACGCAAACGCATGAATTAAATTGAGACGATGTCACGTGTCCCGACGACCTATCAGTACAGCTAGTGGGTGGACAAGACTAACATAGAATTCTGTATTAGCCTTTACGGTGAACAAATTCTAGTTTAGTCGGGTGAAGCATACCTCAGATACTTAAATACTTTTAAAACGGAAAGCTAAATGCATCGTAATATAGTGGAAATCCGTTTTAAAGTCTCAACGACAATAAGGATGCTCAAGTGGTACAGAGAAAGCAAAAAGTAATTTAATTATGGTTTGCAGCATTGAGAAATCGAAACATTCGGAAAATTGCACCACTTTTAACGAACGGGTTATATGGGCCTACCGGTAATATTCTTTAACTCATACAGTGGCGGCATTGGGGCAAAAATTCCATAGTATCATATGGTGTGGTTTTATGTACTGTGAAGCCACTTGCGTGTGTCTTTATATTATTATTATTATTATTATTATTATTATTATTATTATTAAAGCCTACAAGGATGATAGCGATCATAAACATTCTATCGATGATAGTGAAAGCTCCACCGAACACTAAGGTACCTTTTAACTTTATATCAACAGCGTTAATAGCTACGTTAACTTTCGATCAGGGAAAAGATTCAATCAGTCCGGTGTTTCCGGATTTTGAGTACAGAGGCTCTCCCCCTTTCCACTTGCCGCCACCACAAAAACGGAAATACTGTAAAAGGTTATCAATATCTTTACTATTTCATTCACACTGAGTTAAAATTAGCTTCCTTTATCGATAATTTTAGCAAATTTTAAATTTTTGAAATTTTGTTGTTTAACTTTGGCGGCAAAATAATGGCCTGTCATTAGTGGAAAAGACACTGATTCTCAGCAACCACGAACAAAGAGGAAACAATACAGTAGAGCAACATTAATAGAAAGTCGCCGTATTAAAGCGAGTCTCCTTAAAGCTCGTCAAAACATTTACTTTTTCTTATGTTGGAACAAAACACCAAACAATAAAACGGAGTATAAGTATCAACAAGCTAAACCGCGTCTCTAGGTTTGTTGAAGAACATATAAAAGTCGATCATCATTAACACACTACTTAATATATACAGAACTCGGAGAAAACACCTGTTCCAAAATAAAGTCAGGATGGTGACATCTCTCCAACTGACTTGTGACTCCCAACAGTGCTCTCATACGGGAGGAAAAATTAATATTTGGGCGCTGTTCAAGATCAGTCTGAAGTTCTTTTTGACTGACCGGGAGGCTCCAAAAATGAGACTTTCTTCCTCGTCACTGTACATTTTATTAAAACAGAAATAGTACTTTGATGGTTGAAAACATAGTTTTGTAGTACCTCGGTTTGCTTAAGAACGCTTTTAACTTTTTCACTGCTGTTCCGGTTGTTGTTCTTGTTTCTTAAATTTTGTCACCTTTTCGAAGGAGACTGCTATTGGTCAGGGGCCCAGTCATGGGCTCCTGTATTGGTCAAGACTTCTACCATTTTTCAGAACCGGCAAGCAAACGCACTGGCATTAGACTTCACTCGCCTGCGGTTCCAGCAGTATTTGTATAATTTTTGGTCCATTCTACCGCCCGCGATTGAATTTATTTTGTAGTAATTCACTCACATGAAACTCTCACAGAAACAAAACACAACTTTCCAGTTTGCTAAGGCAAGTAACTTTCAAACGGAGTGCAGTGACGCATCAAGGGACTCTTTGTGTTCGTCCGAATAAGTAAAAGAAATTTTCTATATAATTCGAATTTAACTAGAGAAAACGGGACAAAGGCAAACATAGTAAATTTAAGTTGGGTAAATTATTTCAGGTTAAAATTTTTCATATTTCATTGTTATTCTTTCAAAATATTCCGCCGTTCCTGATTAGCTCAAATCTCCCGATTTTATTCGACTCAACGTTGTATTGCACAAGCAGCCTCGTTTGCAGGCAAATATCATATTGATCTACCTCGTTTCCGGGCTCGGAGTCCTGGATGTTTAATCACGAGTAAACAAAAAATGGCGTTCACGAATATTCGAAGACGAAATAGCTGAACTTCTGACTAAAACTGAACGGAAGAAATGAAAGAATACGCAAAATATCAGTCTTGCTCGATGCATGTTACCTACTTTATTTACATCCTGAAACCATGCCAAGAAGTAGGTTTTGGCCTCATTGGGCAACATTCTCCTCGATCTGCATAATTCTTCATACTTAGCCTCATTCAATACTGAACTGTTGTTAATTATAGCATGCTTTCGACTCTGCTAATCCTAGCAGTTACAGTACACCTGGTTTGAAATCAAGTGGCCACGCGTGTTATGCGTTCTTTTGAAGCACTTTGGCAGAGCACCCTAACCGCAACCGGTCGAACATAAGTTGGAATCCGCTACGACATTCGGAACTTCCTCTCTGAACCACTTTGACGAAATAAACAACACCTTCTTGGTATGAAAAATGTTTTAAAACAAAGGTTTTAAAGCATAGAAAAGACAAAAAAAATAAAAAAGTGACCAAGTGATAGACAAATCAGGCCTGGGAATACACGGTAAAACACCACCCATACTTTGATGCAGTCGGTAGCGCACACGGGAATGTGGTCAAGCCTCCTCGGAAATGTTATTTACTCATTGACACGGTTAAGGACCTGAGCCGAAGTCTGTCGAAATATATACCGTACTTTTATCTTTGGGGATTCAAGTTAATTAGGAATCAAAAAACCAAAGTGCCTAAAACACCTTAATCAGAGATGGATTGACGCTCATCGGGGATTAAAAATAAATCCACGATTATATTTACCATGCTATTGATTGTTTAGAGTATCGTTATGGTTTAACAAATCTTATCTAGAATAAGCTCCAGTTACATGTCCCTAGTCAAGAGAACTTTCCTTAAAATTTGGCTTAACCCTGGGTTGAACTTAACCGTCTTTCGAGGAACCATGCTATGAGCTTAACCTTAAGGCGACCTCCCTGCTTGCATAGAACGTTTTGATCAATGAATGATACGTTGCACTAAAGCCGGTTCAAACAAAGCGTTCAATTTGAACTATTTTTCTAGTTTTAATTCTTCTCTTTTTTTTTTGCGAGGGGGGAAGTTAGCTTAGGTTTGGTTTTTGTTTCCTGTTACTGCTTGCTAACTTGGGTGTGTCTAAAGCGACCGTTACATAACATCCAGTTATATAACGCCATGAACGCTGCTGATATGTAGACAAAACCCGACTGGCGCCTGGTATACAAGGAAAAATTATCACATTACTTTGAGCTTAACGATTGTAGTTGGAAAAATACTTCCGCAGATTTACGAGCATCACGGAATCAATGTTACAAATTGTTGTCGATCCGATGTTTCCGGATGTTTATTGCATAGTTTATTCTTTAATTCGTGGCGGGAATGAAATCTGGTTTCTCCATAAGAGTTTTTTGCGAAGCCACTTATATATACGTATGACAATAGAGTAAGATACAGTCCGTCGACATCCATTTAGGATTCTTGAGTTATATAAACATTGACGCGCCCTGGCGACTGCTGCAAGTACCGTATTTATTCGAATAAGCGCCCAACCTCGAATTAGCGCCCATAAAACAGAAAAAGTCCGCCTCGACATCCATAAGAGATTAAGGACCCTCCTGAAGAGTTATATTTTAAACTTTGCTACATCTTCACTTTTGTTGGTACCCTGTTTTGTTGCGACTGAGAATGGTGAAAATTTAATAAGCGCCCAGCCTCGAATAAACGCCCACCTCGAATAAGCGCCCACTCTCAAGGTCCAAAAATTTAATAAGCGCCCAGGGCGGTTAATCGAATAAATACGGTAGCTTGTGCTATATCTTCTCTCTAGTGGAACCACTTCTCCATAAACTTGCTCATACAAGATATAATTTGATGAGCCACCCTTTTGCCAAGTTTAACTTCAGCTAACTTCTGAAAATAAACATGCTTAAGGGGCTTTTCAGGCTACCAGAAAAGGACAAGTCTCAAGTGAAGAATAACGAAAATACGAAGAAATATGATGAAATATGAAATATGATGTTCACAAATCTAATATCAAGACTCGTGGTCTGAGAAACACACTATAAGCAAGGAACTACTAAGTGACAAATAAAAAAATTAAACGGAAAATATCTATATATATATATGCTAGCAGCCATCTCCCTTCCAGACGGTTTTTTTCAACATAACGTATAGGACCGGCTAAACTACATTGCCGTAAGTAAAGTTGTTCAGGACGCCAGTAATTTTCAAGAGCTCACTGCACGTGGGAAAGTCCCTTTTTGGATGATAATATTTCCTAGTAATCTGAGTGGTTGCTGTAATCCTGGTAATGAAATGTGGAAAAATTCACTGACATCCAAACGGACCACACGGACAGAAAATTCTTCTGTATGTCACGTGTAGGCGGGCGTCCGCTGCGGTATACCACCATCCCTTGGGCAAAGTCACGAAACGTCCTAAGTTGTAATTTACCAAATGCCATACATGTTTCATGCGATAATAATAGCTATGACGTTCTTATCAAGAAGTGTAAAGAGATGCATTTCTATATTTCTCTACCTTCATCAGCGTCAAGAATTTTCATGTTGATGGCAAAACTAAGCTAAAGTGAAGGACAGCT